AAATTAAAATTAATACATATTGCTCTTAAATAATTTATTAAAAATATTTAAATAATTTTTACAAACAAAAATATATTCTCTTTTCCCTGTACCTACCCATAGTTTCTCACAAAAGAGAAAGGAAAACAAAGAAAAACAAGAGGCAATCACTTCATCACAAAATCACCAAAATACCCCTAATTCATCGATCTATTTCAAAAATTACAATTTCCATTTTTTTTTAATTAAAAAAATAAAGCTTTCTTTCTCCACCTGTTTCCTGCTTCCCTTTTGCCTGTCGATGGAGCTGCCGAGGCGCCAAGATCAGGGCCTCCCTGAGAGGAAGGGACAGAAGCGAAAACTGGAGGAAGAAACTAAAGAGGAGCCGGAGATTTCCTTTCCGCCGTCCGGCGACACTCGTCACGCTCTCCTCTGCGAGGTAACTGCTCAGGTTAACGTCCTCAATTCCACCTTCTCTTGGCGTGAAGCCGATCGCGCTGCTGCTAAGCGCGCTACTCACGTCCTTGCCGAACTCGCCAAGAATGGTACCGAACTACTTCAGATCTCGTGTTATTCCCGCTGATGTCGTTGATTTCGGTTACTAAGCGTATCTGTTGAAGGTGATCTCTAGTACTTGAATTTGAGGATTTTGAGTGTAATTCTTGTGATTCTTTGGCAGAGGAAGTTGTGAACGTCATCGTTGAAGGCGGTGCTGTTCCGGCTCTGGTGAAGCATCTGCTGGCGCCATCGTCCTGTGAAGGCGATCCGACCCCGAAGCCCTTCGAGCATGAGGTGGAGAAAGGAAGCGCTTTCGCTCTTGGACTTCTTGCCATAAAGGTAGTCGGGCTTAAGTATTTACTCGTTTGTTGAATTGCCATATTTTATTTTTATGGATCTGTCTAATGATATTTGTATTAGTAAAAAATATATTTGTTTGGCTTTTGGAAAGTTTTACGAGCTTTTAATAGAGTGATTGAGCTTGTTGTTAGAAGTTCATCTGTTCTCCGGCATGCATGTTCTTACATAAATCATCAATATATTTGCAATTTACTTTGTGAAGAGTGGAGAAGGGAGAATGTTAAGGAATCATTGAATCTTCTGATTTTTGTTGAATTTGGTGGTTACAGCCAGAACATCAGCAACTTATTGTTGACTCTGGAGCCTTATCACATCTTGTGGCTTTGTTGAGGAGACATAAAGATGGTTCTAGTTCTCGTGCTGTGATTAGTGTTATCAGAAGAGCAGCTGATGCTATTACCAATCTTGCTCATGAGAATAGCATCATTAAAACACGTGTTAGGTTTGCTCTACTTCTGTTTCTGATGTGGCCATGTTGTGGAGGTTTTTGCTGCCAGATTTTTTAATCGATGTCTGGACTTTTTAACAGGATGGAAGGTGGAATTCCACCTCTTGTTGAGTTACTTGAATTTACTGATACAAAGGTGCAAAGAGCAGCTGCTGGGGCATTACGAACCCTTGCATTTAAAAATGATGAAAACAAGAATCAGGTGTTTGACCTTTCTTTGGAAATTGCATTTGATAAAATTGTCTTTGATTCTTGTAAATGGAGTAAATGCAATGTTTTTGCAGATTGTTGAATGCAATGCCCTGCCCACTCTTATTTTAATGCTGAGATCAGAGGATGCCGCTATACACTATGAAGCAGTAAGCTGTTATTAGACAATAATTGGTGTAGTCTTTGAGTTTTCAACTAATTGTAAACTTTTATTGCTTGCACCAGCTGTAGCATAAATTGCTTTTTCATGGATTATAGGTTGGTGTAATTGGAAATCTGGTTCATTCATCGCCAAACATTAAGAGAGAAGTGCTTGCTGCTGGGGCTTTGCAACCTGTCATTTCTCTGTTGAGGTATGCTTTAGTTGTATTGGTGTCACTTTGAGGCTTTATTTTTTGCTTAGTTATCTAGTTTCTAAAAAAAAAGGGTTGAACTTTCTTTCAATTTATTTGTAACAGCTCCTGCTGCTCAGAGAGCCAAAGGGAGGCAGCTTTATTACTAGGACAGTTCGCTGCAACTGATTCTGATTGCAAGGTGGATGGGAACTGTCTTTTCATTTTACTCTTTGCTAGATTTGAGGGGGCCTCTACATGCATTTTTTTGCCGTTGAGCAAATGAGATGAAAGAAAATATACTAGTTGCTTTGGAAATTTCTGGGGTTGGATCAAATACTTAACTTTTTTTTTTTGTTATAAGTATATATAAACATATATAATTTCATCATTTTTGTATATATTGACTTTCATTTCCTTTGAAAAACGGGACTAAAAGTTAGATGTTTGCAGGTTCATATTGTGCAGAGGGGTGCTGTTGGGCCCTTAATTGAGATGCTTAAATCTCCAGACGTACAGTTGAGGGAAATGTCAGCCTTTGCTTTGGGGAGATTGGCACAGGTTAATGTTTTTATCTTATCTTACTTTTTCTTTACTTATATCAAGGTTGTTGATACTATGACTTATGTAGAATTGCTGTTATTTTTATTGCTTTGTATTTGAGCAGCTCTGCAACTGGAACTATTGTACATTTATCTCTTCTGTTTTTCACTTTTATATCTTAAAGACAAACTATTAAATGTTTCTCCTGGGCATATCTATTTATAATTATAGAAGATCTTTATCTCAGGCATACTGAATTTTGAGATTGCTAGTTGCATATCTCTGATGTGTTGTATATGATATCTTTCCTGCGTATGTTGCATTAGTGTTTCTATTAAACTAATTAGATGACTTTTTCAAATAAACTTCATATCTATATGTTAACCATTAGTGGATGCTTCTTTTTGACTCAAAAATAATTTCAATTCCAGGACACCCACAACCAAGCTGGTATTGCACATAATGGGGGATTAGTGCCACTGCTGAAGCTTCTTGATTCAAAAAATGGATCTTTGCAACATAATGCTGCATTTGCTCTTTATGGTCTGGCAGATAATGAGGTATTCAAAGTGCTGGATTTTTTTTTTCTTTATTGAGTCATTGGACACTGCTTTAATATGTTGTTCTCTTCTACAGGATAATGTGTCTGATTTTATTAGGGTGGGTGGTGTGCAAAAGCTGCAAGATGGAGAGTTTATTGTTCAAGTATGTTTGTCTCTTATTGATCTCTTCGTAACTTGAGATGCTTGCAATTTTTTGTAGTTTCTTTTCTTAAATTATCCTGTCAATTTTTCTGAACCTTTCATTTTATATTATTTATACCTTAACTACTACAATTGATGACTTCATTTGCAGGCTACAAAAGATTGTGTGGCCAAGACATTGAAAAGATTAGAGGAGAAGATTCATGGCCGTGTATGTTTCTCCCCATTAATTACCTCTATTTATTTGTTGTTTATTTGTCCCAGTGTTGCAAAAAGCACACTGAGATGCTTGCTAGGCAGTGCTCTGCTGCCTTGCCTAGGCAATGAGTGGTGGAGCTTGCTGTTTCTTTTATTTTTTAGTTTTTTGGATTTATTTTGGCCTTTTTTTGAAGAAAAAGATAAATGCCTAAAGTGCCCAGTAGAGGTCCTAGGTGGTGGCCCAACGTTGAGCACCTTTTGCTACACTGATTTTTTCTTGTTTCCTTTTTGGAAATCCTTCTTCAGTGTTCTATTATATTTTGTTTTTCATTAAATTTGAATTTGTATGTGAAAACCCTGAAATATTTGATCTCAATTTTCTTTTATAGGTTTTGAACCATTTGTTATATCTGATGCGTATATCAGAGAAGCCAGTCCAGAGACGAGTTGCTTTAGCTCTTGCCCATCTTTGTTCCCCAGAGGACCAGAGAACCATATTTATTGAAAATAATGGTATTTCTTGTCTCTTCTTAAATAATTTCAAACTCATATTGTATTCCAACTCTTAAGTGGTTTGGATGAGGATACCACAAGTGCACATGCAGCTGAGATGGTTATGGCGCCATACATTCTAACCATGTCGAGTTTTCATGCAGGTTTGGAGTTGCTTCTTGGGCTTCTTGGTTCTGCGAGCCCAAAGCAGCAATTTGATGGTGCTGTGGCTTTATACAAGTTGGCCAACAAAGCTATGACTCTTTCTCCTATTGATGCAGCTCCCCCTTCTCCAACACCACAGGTGAGTTGTTCCAAAAGCTGATTAGTCCTGTTCTCTGCCTTTCCTTTTCGTTAATAGATCTGAACAGAGACAGATAATTTTTTGATTTGTGTGAATTTATGATCATATCCTGATCACCTCTTATGGCAAAATTGGTATTGTGTTTGAAATATATTATCATGTCATACTCTTGTGATTGGAAATGATATTTTCTAGTTTTTGAGAATTGAAGAATATGTATATATTGATAAGGATATCTAAATTATATTCCAACAATTTGGATGCTGGACATGAAAGCTATTGCCAAATTTGCATTTGATGTAATTGAAGCATATATGGAATTCAGAAGCCTTAAAAGGAAAATGAATGAAACGAAGATGGTCTTTCTAAACAAAAGTAAGGTTTTTATTACCAAAAAGAAAATGATGGAAAGGATAACATTGAAGGATTTTAGTTGCTTTTAGTTTATTATTTATTATCATCATCATCATCATCATGGTGGTGGTGGTGGTGGTGGTGATGTGCTTGTAATTTCAATTATGGCTGCATATAGATGTTTCTGTATGTGGTTGGAAGATGAAACAGTTTATACTTTCATAATGTGCCCATGCTAACAAACTAATCTTACTGCAGGTTTATTTGGGGGAGCAATATGTAAATAATGCTACTTTGTCGGATGTTACCTTTCTTGTTGAAGGTTGTTACTGGATATGCTTATTTAAATCTGTGATTCTTGTTATAGAAAGATATTGCGGTGGACCTGATATATTTTGTTTCCATGAAATACCTCTCTAAATGTAAATTGTGTTTTACGTGCAGGTAGACGGTTCTATGCTCATAGAATTTGCCTTCTTGCTTCTTCAGATGCATTTCGTGCAATGTTTGATGGTGGCTATCGGGTGAGTTTGCTTCCTTCCCTCTTCTTAAGGGGACCTGTGGGTCTTATCCTTCACTGCTAACTCTGGCGTTGTGGATTTTTATTCAAGTGTTATTCTGATAGCAATGACAAAGGCAGAGACCTGCAATTGATATGACATATATTCCTTTACTCCTTTGTTTGTCAAGATTCTGGAGTTTAATCTCCAACTCCATTTACCCTTGTGAACTCAGACTTTATGCAATGGAGTATTATCATTTGTTTAGCTATAAATCTGCCATTCTTAAACTTAGGGCAAGGAACAATGGATTAATGTACAACAATATGCATCTTTAAATTCCTATTGGCATGTATTGCAGGAGAAGGATGCAAGGGATATTGAAATTCCAAACATTAGATGGGAGGTTTTTGAGTTGATGATGAGGTAAGTTCTCTTACCTAGGGTTCGGATTTCTTTAG